CTCCTCCAGCTTCCCAGGTGGAAATAAGAGGCCACCTCAATAGCCAGCACATTTCTCTCTCGTATGAAAAATAGATGTTCCACGAAGCTAGGCGCCTCTCCCTCTGACTCCCCCCCGCCCCCCCTTTTCAGCACATCCTCTGCCTTTTCTGTGTGACTCTTCCCGCGGTAACGAGAGCCCCCACATCCATAGGGCTGGGAGCTGGCAGCAGCAAGAACGTGGAGGGGTGGGGGTGGGGGGCTCTGGGAAGAGATGACACATTTCAGGGAAAGCGCTGTCAAAGCCTTGACGTGTTCATTCATAGCTTTGTCAGACTAACCTTTGGGGGGAAAGGGGGAGAAGTGTCTTCTCCCACATAAGAGGTTGCCATATTCATGTTTTAATTTGCTGTTACATTTTCAAAAAAAACAACATATAAAAAAATCATTTATCATTTTATGATCTGTTTTCTCCCCCAAGAACGCCCCCTTTCCTTTCCCCTTCTCCCTGAGAAGTGTGTTTTCCACAGCTCATACGTGCTCCTCCGTCTCTGAGACGTGCGTTCTCCGTTGGAGCACTGTGGCCTCCCAGGCAGTTGGATGAAAGGTGGACTGTTCGGTTCTCGCTCCGACGGCTCCTGCCCACAAACGGAAGCCTCACGTCTGGGTCTCGGCAGTGTGCACAGAGCTCTGGATCCTCGAGGGAGCATTTGGTCCTCAGCAGGCCTTCATGGTTGCGAGGCCAAGAGGCTCTGGTCACTGGTTAACTTGTGAGCTTTCTCAGAGCTGTTTACCCGCCCTGTGAGGGGAGGGTCTGTAGTAGCCACCCCTCCCCTCTTTTTTAATGTAATCTAAAGGAATAGTTGTGTCTGTCTTTCAGTAGTGTCAACTTTAGCTATCACCAAGGTGGTATCTCATTAAGCAGGTCTGCCTATTTCCGATGTAAGATTTAGTAAGCAATAATGGCATGAACCCCGTGGAGAAATTCTAAACATTGCCTATTTGAAACTCATCTGAAGGAAGGAAAGGTTCAAGAGTCTTGGCCCTGCCAAGAGTCCCCTTCTGTCCAAATCCTCAGGGAGAGGATTGAGGAAGGGATTTCCTTCCCATTCAGGTGTGGCTCTACTTCCTGCACCCCTAGCTCACGAGTGAGCCAGTTGTATATATCCAGATTTGGGACGTTTTTTTGAAAGAATGAAATTATGACCTTGATATGCTCCTCCTCTTACAGTGTTTCTGAGATGAAGCTGGGAGATATTTTGTCCGTCTTGCTGAGGGATGATTGTTTTCATGGAAAGCGATGGAACCAGGTAGGGTTTGTTTTTATTGTGCCTGCTGCTCACTGCGTGGCTCATTTCTTGACTTAGAGTTGAGGGTGGGGCAGCGTTGCATGGTCAGGCCCAGTGGTCTCTCCAGGTTACCAACCAGGACAACTGACTGTGGTCATTCATCCATGGTGGAATGGGAGAACAAACATGTCTGTCTCGGATACTGAGTTCACCCGTCTTTTAAGCTGTGTGTGGGTGTTATACACAGAGGAAGGGTCAAGTTGCGATCATTGGGAGGAAAGCTCTCTCTCCTCATGCAGTTCCATCTGGAGCTCCGGAGCACTTGTGGACAGTCCTGACGTCCTGCTGCTTTTCCCTGGCTGCACCCGTGCCAAGCAGTCATGTTCGCCTTGCCTCGGTGTCCTACCGATGTATGACAGGTGCACACAATACCGTGTGCAGTATTGCTGAATGTAATTCTACCTATGAAATACTACTTACTTGCATAACTTACATTCGTCTGCTGATGACTGAGGGTAGATTGGAAAAATCAGAGCCAAGATGTTGGGCTTTCGAGTTTCTCGTGTGCTTTCGTTTTTGTCTTTATTTGCATCTGTAGTCTCCCAAGGCGGGACCAGATTGACTGACGCTCCTAGAAGTGCTCTTCTTCCAAGAGTGCCAAAGGAGAGAGAGCAGCGATTCCCTGAGGGCGCTTCACAGCCCGGCCTCCGCCTAGCTCTTTACACTACAAGACGGACACCCTTTCATGCTCATAGCAACCCTACGACCAGAAAACTGAAGCTTAGGTTAAGGGCCTTTCACAGGGCTTACTCAGAATCATTAACTCTGGGATTTGAAGTCAGTCAGTCTTAACTTCAAAGTATGTGTTTACCTACAATATCAATGTGGCTCCACTAGTATTAGCTCAGCGAAGAACATGGAATTCATTGTTTGTTTGTTTGTAAGTTAGGTCATTTCAAACGGTGTCTGGCAGAGGAATTTGAGATAAAACACGGGCAGCAATTGGCACTGTACCAGAGACCCCTGCTAACAAAGGTATTTAGGGTTCACCTGATCAACAACTTATTCCAGGTGGCCTTTCAGACCGTGCATCATCTCTTCGTAGAAGTTTGTTGCCAAGAGAATTGACCAGGAACGAGAGACTCCCAGGACGTGGCATACTGCTGTTCTTCTGAGACTAGTGCGACTGTTAGCCTGAATGCCAGAAGGCACACGTTCCTTTTCTAACAGTAATTCCAACACTGCTGACTAGCATAGGCAGGGGCTAGCCTCACTGAGGTCAATTAAGAATGTTAAAAAGTACCTCTTATTGCCAAAACCCTCTGGCACTGGATTGCATCATTGAGTTGACCCATAGGGACATTATCTGCATGCCCCGTTTGTTTTTTTCCTTTGAGATAAGGTGTGTGCAGTGTGCACAGGAATTTGTTCTTAGTTTTTTTTTTAAACTAGAGTCCGGCCCTCCAATGGATCTGAGGGACAGTGAACTGGCCCCCTGTTTAAAAAGTTTGAGGACCCCTGATCTGCATGGTGTGTCTGAAGCTGTAAACTTTTGCAGGAACAAATGGCCTTATTTTTCTCCTGAGGAGCAAGCAGTGGGTTTGAACCACCAACCTTGTGGTTAACAATCCAATCCTTACCTGACACTGCATCTCCCACTAGGGATTATTTTTCCAAATTGCCCCTACAGAGAGTTAACGTGGCTCCAGGAAAGCCACACGGGGCCAGTGGGAGCACCTGGAGAGCGATTGGAGGAGGCAGCATAGTTAAAACATGGGTCTGAGGGTCACGTTCCTGATCTGCCACACCTGAGCCACATGACTGTGAGTAAGTGGTGCTCTTCCTAAGCCCGGTTCCTTCAAGTGTCAAAAGGAGCCTGGAGGACCGAGTGGGAAATAGCCCAAAAGCCCTAAGTAGATGGCATGATACTGAAAGTTGTTATTTTTTTAATCATCATGCAGTGTTATCATCTGGTAGCAGGTGTGGAATTAGAGCCCATCCTCAGTGACGTGAAGTCCAGTCCTGATTTGCTAAATCATAATCATTGGAACATATGCACCTGCCTTCTGCCCAGGAATTAGAGCAAGCAGTGAAACTACAACATGAGATGTTAAAAGTTTGACCAAATCTAGTCTCTGCTGTGGCTGTGTCGGGGACTAGCTGTGCTGTCAGCTTGCATCCTTTCTCTCCAGGGGGTTGATCACCGCGCGCATCTGCACATCCCCCGGGAAGCTGTGGAAGGGCGTCCCACCCTTGTGAAGGACATTTCCCCAAAGAAGGAATGGAGCAGCTGCATCTCCCTCTGCTCTGACAGGAAGGAGCCATTAGTGCACGCACACACACCTACCTTTTTTTTTTTCCTCACACATCTGCCCTTCTGTGGCCTTGCAGAATCAATTCTCCTTAAACTTTGCCCTGGCTTAAGGCCAGCCTCGAAGGCTTCTTGAGACTTGTAAGGAGTGGCTGTAAGATCATGGCTAAGGAGTCCTAACCCAGAGTGTGGTGAGCATGGATTTGACTCCTTGCTACACTAGTAGCAGCTCTTTGACCTTGGGCACCGTACCTTCTCTCTAGTCGGAGTTTTCTCATCTTTAGAATGAGGCAGACAGCCTACCTTGCAGGCCGCATTGAGGTTTAAGGAAACTGAGGCAGAAAGTGCTTGGCAGAGTTCAAGCAAAGTCAGTTTTTGTCTCATCATAGCCCCAAGCTCATGGCTTGGTGGACTTGATGCCCAGGAAGGATTTGAATTAAAGTTTGGAGTGGGGCTGTTGCGTGGGGGGAATCGCACCCACATTAAAACAGCTGGTTACCTTACAAAACAGAACCAGCCATGCAGGTGCAGGTTCTAGGTCTTGTAGTTAAAGAATTGGTTTATGTGATGAAATGAAACATTCATTCCAAGGAAAAATAAAAGCTTAAACTGAATTGACTACATTACTAATTGACTACATTACATGATGACAGCCTCTGGAGTATTTCATGTGTGTGATCCATGCGAATAACAGGAGGAATGGAGTAGCTCCTACACACAACTTCTGATTCCATTTTGCGTAAGAAATACTGTAGGTCTTAATTGCTGTACTCAGTGTGGGCCATATGCACAAGGCTGGGCTCAGTAGTTAAGGCTGTTACACATATAGCCAGAAACCTCATTATAATGGCCACCTCCTTCACCCCGCTCGATTGAAGTCCACTGTAAATGTCCCTTTGGCACACACATTTTTAGGCTTCTGTGAACAGTAAAAAAGTGAGTGAAGCATCTGTGAAATGTATATTTCATATTTCGGTATATAAAATTTATATAGCTGCGTCTGGGTGTGTGAATGCTCACCCGCCTACAAAGAGAATAAATTTGATCTCTCAACCTGACTGGGAAGCACTGAGAAAGTTCTGGGACCATGGAGCTAACACTCAGCTTGGCAATACAGTGATTAAAACAAAACCCTTTCACTTAGTTTTAAAATATCTGGGAAGCTGGCAGTATCAAGGCCCACATTTCTTAACACACGCACACCACCATGCCCCCCTGCTAAAACTTTTCCAGGGAAACTAGTTTGGTAGCCCCCCTGTTGCTTTAACCTCTTGCTCCTTGATGACGTGTGCGTTTTTCATCTTCTCAGGAGATACGCACACTCAAGCACCCACCAACGCGTGTTTTTTCCACACGTGTTGTTGGTTTGTCCTGTGATGCATGCCTGTAAACTTTTCCTAACCAAAAACCAAAAACCATTTCTGGCGCTGTGAGCTGTGAAAGAAGATCAGGAGCCCCTGGCTCCGTCCTCTTTGATTGTCTGTTCCCGCCAAGATCAGTCGGCTCTTACTGATCAAGGGCTGTTGGGTGCTTATAGAAAGGTGGGAATGTAATTTTCTAAACTGCCCATGGTCCGCGGGTTGCAAGAGAGCTTCATTACAGCTATGTGTCGAGGAGGGTGGGAGGGCCCGTCCTGCCGGGTATTCATGTGCCTGCAGGGGTTTGACCCGCGCTCATTACGGGAGGATTGTGCCTGTCTGGGGCTGGAGATGGGTGGATATAGCTCTGCCCCCTCTATCTTCAGTTTAAATTTATACTGTCCTCCCCAGAAGACAACGGGAAAAAAACCTCATTCACTCTCAAGAGGAGCCATTTTAAAATAAAGTATTTCTGGAAGTGAGGGTGGGGAGAAGGGAGGAGTACGAAATGCTTTTTCCTAAATAGAGTATGTTTTCTGCCATTAACTTTTTCCTAGATTGTACTAAAACCGACCCCATCATTTTAAACACGTGAACTGAGTTTTATCACTCCCCCCCCCCTTTGCTTGTATACCCACTCGCATTACATATGTGTTCGTATATGTAATCTCTCTCTCTTTTTTTTTTTTTTTGGTTGGGAAGAAAAGATGCCTCATTTTGAAACCTAAAGGGGGGAATAAGAGAAGCCCTTTGTAATATATTGCCATATTATCACTAAATCCCCTGACAGTTGTGACACACAGGCAAGTCACCTGTCACTTAAGCTTGAGGTCTCTTTAATTTTCTCCTGGAATTCGCACCAGGCTGTCTTTAATTTGAGGCCTTTATTGGAATTCTGAAACCTCTCTGCCTCCCTGGCTCTCAGATCTATTCTGAGCGCCGTTACAGAATGTATACAATAACCAACAGAGGATTCGGAGAGGGCTGGAGCTCTGTTTATTTAACACTCTAGAGGGATTTTTGTGCTTATTCGGTCCTGGATGCCCGGCTTTCAATATCGCTTTGACAACCATTCTGCCCTTCTCATTAATTTTAAACAGTTAAAACACAGGAAAAAGAGGGAAAAGTTTTCATTATTAAAGTGCTTTACTTTTTAATAACAGAGGATTCTGTCCGCCAGGGGAAAGGGCATCCTCGCTAATTTCACATTCATATTAAAAAAAAAACACCAGGAAGGTGACAGTCGCGCCGCTGAGGTGGCTTAACGAAAGGAGGGCCCTGAAAGGGAGGGGGAAAAGTTTGCCTTTCACATCAGTTAAGAGGGTAAAAAAGAATCCTTGTTAATGACAATAGCAAATGTCCACTTTCGTAACCCAGCTCCTGAGTGACTTTCCTCTTGACATTTGAGCGGATAAAAACCCTTAGGGCGACCATGTGCCGTGAAACCAGCGAGGCTGTTGTCAACCAAACAGGAACAGCAGTGATTTGACTAAACTAAAAACATCTGCAGGTTGTTAAGTCTCTATTAATGCAGAGATGAGCGTCGATCCAGAGGATGGGGCTTTTCTTCCCAATCCCGTGTTCTTCCTCTGGTGGCCCGGAAAGTGAGAGGAGATCTCAGCTGAGGGTAGACCCAGTTAGCCAGACACAAGCATCAGCCCCGTGCCCTGCAGAGGTTAAAGGGGGCATGAACTGGATCGCACCCCTTCCTTTCCCGGTGCCCAGGATGGGGCTGGGTAATAACACCCACCACTCAGGTGATCCCTGCCTCGGTGGGCTGCACGTGAGCCCCATCGGGTTGGAGGAACTGCCCTCTGGCTATCACCTTTCCTTGGGAACATCCACGTGTGTTATAAGATACAGGACCAAAAACATTCGTTTTCCGTGGGGAGGTGAAGAAAGGGAGTCATTTCTCTATGACTGTTGAGAGGGTAAAAACTCACTGTCTGTTTACATTTTCTCCTCTTTGGAGCCCTGGTGGTATTGTGGTTATGCGCTTGGCTGCCAACCAAAAGGTCTACTGTTTATACCAGTGTGACTGCCCCCCTGGGGGATGCTGGAATGATCCAGGGGGGCCGGGGGAGGTTGCAAAAGCAGGTGCCTACACTTTATCCTGGATTATAGGATACAGTACAAAAGTTTTTAATTGGGGGGTGGGGAGACACTGAATAATTTTTTTTTTCCTGAAAAGGGGGAAGGAGGTCAAATAAGTTTGGGAGCCTGCCGTTTAAACCAATCAGCCGATCCGCAGTCGGTTATGTCCATCGACTTCTGTAAAGACTGCCACCTTAGGAGCCCGCCGGGCACTTCACTGCCCTGCAGGCTTGCTAGGAAGCAGAAGTGACCCAGTGGCAGCAGGTTTACTTTGGTTTGGTTTTTACTTTCGGGCCTTTCGGTACATATAGATGACCATAGCCCAGGGTCAAGTGTAGGGATCTGCTTTTGCAGCCCCTCTGGCTCATTCCAGCGCCCCGTCGTCACCAGGGGGCGGGGGGCAGTATTGTCCACTCTGGCAAACAGTGATGTAGAAGCTACCGTTTCTGGGGGGCCGTTTGCTGCAAAGATCCCAGCAGTCCTGGAGTGTCATTGGTTGGAATTGCCCGGAGCTCTGCACACGTAGGCACTCTGTGCTTACGGCTTACAGGACGCTGAATAAGCCGGACACACTGAGAGCGCCGAACCTCTCTTGGAATTAAGGCTGCTCTGCTGTTCCAGGGTTTAAAAAGGAACAAAGACAACTCGCTGCTATTGAGTCCCTTTTGACACATACAGGACAGAGTAACCATGCAGATTTCCAAGACTAACTCTAGGAGAGTAGAAAGTTTCCTCTTTCTCCCAAGAAGCAGCTGGTGGTTTTGAACTGCTAACCTTTGGTTTCCAGCCCAACCTGTAATCACCTTGCCACCAGGGCTCCTGTTCAAGGGAAAAAAGTGGAGTACCTTTTGGGCAGGTGATTGTCAAGTCCTCTTGGAAAGGAATCACCAGTGTTTCATTGGTCCGCATGTGGAGTGGGAAAGATTTAAGACCTAAGTAAGAGGTAAAATACTCATTTGAAAACAGCTTATGTGCAGTGGTGTTATAAATTACAGAACTGGGCTTGGGAAATTCCCATGAGTCTCAAATAAGGGTCTCTCATTTTGAGTGAGTGATCAGAGCCCAGGAAGAAAAGGAAGTCAATAGGTAAATAAATAAGCAGCACCAACCTGCTGCCTCACAATGCCACCCTCCTTTTTGCTTGACTTTAACATCTTTATAGCTCCTCTTATTTCTTCTTTTTTTCCCTCCGCAGTAATATTGAGAGGATTACCCTTGTTGGCCCCTAGGTGGTTACTGTGTGATTTTACTGTTATTAAATCTATTATAAACTGCTTCATTATTCCTGACTCTAACTCTTGTCTTTCCTTTAATCCTTCCGTCACCCTCCCAGAAATCCCGTGCCGGTGGCCCCCAGGAAATCCGCGAGCGAGCCACAGTCTTGCAGACGGTGTTTGAAGATTACGTGCACTCCAGTGAAAGCAGGGTCTCCTGGGCCAAAAAAGGTCAGTCGATTTCTAAGATGATTATGGGGTAGAGAGCCCAGCAGAACACCTCCCCCGCCTCCACTCACACCCCTTCCACATGGGTTGAGAGTCCAGCCAGGGATCTCTGCTCACCGGCCAAAGCCATCAATCTCCGGAATTCTGCAGGGCTCAGAAGCAGGCACGGAAGGCTTTAAGATGATATTAAATGTTAATTTCCGCCTTCCTCGTGTTTTGCACAAATGAGGCTTTATCTTGGCTTACATCAGGGCTGGAGCTTTGACCCAACAACTTGGGTCTTAGGGATCCGATTTTCTCCTCCTCTGAGAACCAGAGATGACAAGTCAGTAGAACTCTTTGTGGGGATGGGAATTAGAGATGAAGGTGAAGACGGGCAACATTAGACGAGGGAATTCCTGGTTGAAAGGACAAAAAGAAAACTGAGAAAGAACAGGGCTGGGCTGGCCCGTAGTTCATAAACCCAATGCCTAGGAAATTTTAAAAAGAGGTGTGAATTTAATATTCAGACTCTTCATAGGCTAAGTTGGCTCCAGGGAACACCAAATATTAAGTGTGGACTTACTGTTCACTTTGAGAAAAAGAGCAAGGGTGGGGATGGGGCCAAGGGGTTTTCAATAGCCAGTACTCTTTTATAGTGGATTGTTCTGTGCCTTGTCTGGAGACTGCCTTGTGTGTACTGATGAAACTTACCACTGTGGGGTCCACAGTTCTTTTCATTGCCAGGCTAGCTTAAGCAATATCACATCCTTTTCTTTGCATGACTAGGAGCATAGTTTTTGCATCACTTACTCCACAAACATTTATTGGATTGGGCACTATTCCAGGTGTTGGGTTACATCAGGGATGAAAACAGACGAAAGTTGATCCTTGGCTCTGTAAAGCTAGCGTTCTAGAGGCTGTGGTGGGTGAGCAGCTAAGCACACCTACACACATTGACAGTCAGACAGACTAGCCGGTCTGCTTTAAGAGCCCTGAACAGAAATAGAGAAGGTTGAGCCAGCGGCTGGCGGGACAGGGAGCCTCACGCAGAGTGTTTTCAATAGGGGTTGGAGTGAGGCTTTGGCATGGTTGTGACGAGAAGGATGGCCATCAGCCCTCTGAAGGAAGGGCCTTGCAGTCAGTGGGTTTGGCCAGAGCACAGGAACTCCAGGCAGTGTGGCAGCAGAAGGGGAGGCGCCCCAAGAGGCGGATTGTGTCAGGCTTGGAGGCTGTCCTAGAGACTGAGTTTGACCCCATGGGAAATTAGGACCGTTGAGGGCCTGGGAGCCGAGATCTGACATTCGATTTGAAAGAGGTCATCTTAATGCGGTGGATTAGACTCCAGCAGGGCAAGGACAAAAGCTGGAAGACGTTAACAGGAGATTGTCTAGGAGGCTATTGTAGATGGTCAGATCGGCTTAGTGGACTACGATTAAGTACCTGCTATAGATGTTAGAGAGCCCTCGTGGCACTGTGGGTTAGAGGTCAGACTGCTAAACACAAAGTGGGCGCTTCAGCACCCACCGTCTGCTCCTGTGAAGATCTACAGCAGGGCTCCTCAAACTACAGCCTGCAGGCCACATGCGGCCCACCGAGGACATTTATCCAGCCCGCTGGGTGTTTTTGCCCCATTTTGTTTTTTACTTCAAAATAAGATATGTGCAGTGTGCACAGGAATTTGTTCATCATTTTTTTTTAAACTGTAGTCCGGCCCTCCAACAGGTCTGAGGGGCAGTGAACTGGCCCCCTGTTTAAAAAGTTTGAGGACCCCTGCTCTACAGAAACCATAGTGCTGCCGTGAGTCAGAGTCAACTTGGTGGCGTGGGTTGGGCTTTGGATGCAATGATGCTTTCTGAGAACAATCATAAAAACTGGACCAACTCAGCACTGCACAGGTTTGAAAGATGAGGTCCCCAGTAACTGCCCCATAACCCACTGATCTTTCAGTATTGGTGTGTATTCTTTGAGACTTTTCTCTCTAATAATACCCTTTCCCAGCATTTTCCCAAAGTAGGTCTGGCAATCCTTAAAAGGTTATCTTGAGGACCTACCTTTAAACAAGTACTGAAGCATGCCGTCTCAAGAGGATAGACTGTCTGCCCTCCTGTAGCTGGGCAGTTTGGTCATTTGATGAAACTTGGGCAAATCGAGAACATAGCTAGGTATTATGCTGCTGAATTTCAGGGTTAATAAAGCACAGTGAAAAAGAGTTCGTTAACTCACGCCATGATCTTTGGCTTTGATTGTGGTATCAGTCAGGTATTTTGATTATTCTTGTGGGACTATACAACTATTTCAGCATGGCTGGGGTCAACAAAGGAAAAGTTATAAGGAATATGGAGAATGGGTTTTTTGCATTTAGGAGAATGTGGGGTTTTTGCATTTTATCTCCTCCTTGTCAACATTGAACTTGTTAATGCCAAGGAGCAAGCAGAGCTCTTTAGCTTTTGTTTAAAGAACATTGGAGTAGAGCCACTCCACGATGGCTTAGTACCACAAAGAAATAAACACATTATTTCTCTCGTCCACTAATTGATTTCTACACCAGACTGACGGAGGGTGGGCTCTGAAGAAACCGCCTCTGGAAGATCTCGGTCGCTCACTTCCAATAGAAAGCTCTCTGCTGGATCTCCACTCCAGTTATTAAGATTATGAACGCTGGAGGTCTGGGGGAATAACCCCAGATTCACCACCCTAAAAGTATTACATTTCCAACCCAGGATCAGCCACTCCACCCCAGAAATAGAGCCTGTCTTTGGTATTTCTATCTGCATATGCAAATTCTCCACTACTGACTGGCTTTCCTTTTATACCATTTCAGAGCCCACCTCATGAATTATTAACAAAGCAGCTGGCTTTTGCCTTTATGGTAAAAAAAAATAATACTAGTTGGAAATGGGGCCAAGTATGCATTTGTTTTCCTTTTGCATTTTTCTGACCCAGTCACTGTTAATGGTAGCATTTAATTGTCAGTTTTCAGGAGCAGTTAGTTATCAGCCTTTTCTCTCTCTCGTGTTGTGCATTTCTTAGCTAGGAATGCAAGTGTTAAAAATAGCTCTTCTGTAAGTTTGCCTTCCATGCTCCTGAACACAAATTTCAGAAAATGGAACCCTTTGTGTGCAAATTACCACTTCTGCAGTTTGATGATCTCCATCTTCGGATCCCCGTGAAGAACAGGCCTGGCATGTGCTTGGGAAAGGGGGTGCTTCTCTGATCAAGAGAGTCCTAACCCAGGGTGACAATAATCCTCTCACTGTGAGGGAGAGGTCTGCTGGGTCCTCTGCCAAAGGCCTCTTTCTAGGAGAAGCAGAACAAACCTCACCTCCCACGTCGTTGTCGCTGTTGACGTGCCACTTGGGAGACCTTTACCCTGTCCTGACCTGGGAGTCGGTTGAGAGGAGTGAGAGTATAGCTCCTATTTACCTCTTTGATAGTAGAGATCATCCATACATAAAAACCAAAACTAAACTCACTGCCTCGAGTCAATATTGACTCATAGTGGCCCCCTGAGGGTTTCTGAGTCTGTAATTTTTAACGGAAGTAGAAAGCCCATCCTTTCTCTCGTGAAACTGCAGGTGGTTTCGAATTGCCGACCGTGCGGACCACAGCCCAATGCGAAACCACTAAACCACCAGGGCTCCCATCCGTCCATAAGCTACTACTATTCCTTATCCAGAAACAGTTCTATTTTGCATGGAAAAGGACAAAATACCCAAGTGGGGTATATAAAGATCTATCTCCCCTAGTTGATCTACTTTAAATAGTTGTTGAGATGGGAATTGGAGACAAAAAAATATTGTAGTTCCAAGCCGAAACCCACTGCCATCGAGCCAATTCCAACTCCTAGTGAACCTGTGGGACAGGGTAGAACTGCTCCTGTGGGTTCCTGCGACTGCAGTTCTTTACGGGAGTAGAAAGCCTTGACTTTGTCCCATAGAGTGCCTGTTGGTTTCAAACTGCTGACATGTGACCCCCAGGCCACCAGGGCTCCTTCTGATTGTTGTAAGGTGTCATCCAATCAGTTCTGAACCAGAGAGACCTCACGCACAACAGAAGGAAACACCGCGCCATCCTCACAATGGTTCCCTGCCTGAGCCCATTGTTGCCGCCACTGTGTCAGTCAGTCCAGCTCAGCCCGGGCCTGCTTCTTTATCCCTGATCCTCGGCTTTCCCAAGCATGGAGTCCTTCTCCACGGACTGGCTTCTCCTGACAGCTTGTCCACCAAGTCTCTAAGATGAGTCTTGCCACTGTAGCCTCTACGGAGCACTCTGGCCATACGTCCTCCAAGACAGATTTGTTTGTCCTTTTGGCAGTCTGTGGTACTTTAAGTATTCTTCACCAGCACTGTAATTCTAATGTCGTCCTTATTCAGTATGCAACTTTCACATGTTTGTGAGGTGATTGAATAGAACCTCCTCCCTGGGGGACGGACAACAGAAAAGTGGGTGAAGGGAGACGTCGGACAGTGTACGATATGACAAATAATAATTTATAAATTATCAAGGGTTCATGAGGGAGGGGGGAACAACAAGGGATGGGGTAAAAATGAGGAGCTGATGCCATGGGCTGAAGTGGAGAGCAAATGCTTTGAGAATGATGAGGGCAACGAATATACAAATGTGCTTTAGACAATTGATGTATGTATGGATTGTGATGAGTTGTATGAGCCCCTAATAAAATGATTTTTTTTTTTAAAGAAAATACCATGGCTTTAGTTAGGCACTCCTTAGTCCTCAAAGTAACCTCTCGATGTTTTTCAACACTGTTAGGTTTGCTTGTTTGTTTTAAAAGGTCTTGTGCAGCAGATTTACCCAACGCAATGCATCGTTTGATCTCTTGACTGCAGCTTCTGTAAGCATTGCTTGTGAATCCAAGCAAGACAAAATCCTTGAGAAGTTCAATCTTTTCTCCATTTGTCATGGTGTTCTCCGTTGGTCCAGGTGTGAGGATTTTGGTCTTTACATTGAGTTGTCATCCATACTGAAGGCGCGATCCTTGATCTTCAGCACGTGCTTCAAGTCCTCCTCACTTTTCAGCAGACAGTGTTGAGTCCTCTGCATACCACCATATCACCATGACGGATCTTGCTGATTAGATTAGCTGTATCTTAACCCATCATCTCAGATAAGCTTCTCCTTCCGTTATTGCTCCTCTTTCCACTTGTGTTGCTGGCCTTGTCTCCCCTGCTCCTTCTGCACATTTAGAAACTGCCATCTCGAGCCACCTCCTGCCCCTTGGAAAGTCCGATGAACAGCTGTTGCTGCATCTGGAACCCCGCAGCGTTGAGCTCTCCAAACGTGGGAGCTGAGCAGTAGGGGAGGACAGCCAGTTGTCGTCCCCAGTGAGACGGGCGTCTGAGGGCAAGGAGGTGTGGTGAAAATATGCAGTGTGAAATGCTGCCTCGCCAGTTGTCGAGGGAGAAAGCCCTTCCTGCCTGTTCTTGGCACACTCATTATCCCTGCACAGCTGTTAGTTGGGCACCTAAGTCTGTTGGGACAGAAGCTTTCCATCCTCAGGAAGAGGGGTGAGCACAGGCGGAAGCCAGGGGCCTAATCTGCTTCAGCAGAAGAGTGGGGTGAGACCAGGAGAGCTGGGCCCAGATTTGGATAACAGATTTTAAAAGCAAAAAATGCCTAGACTTGGCTTGCTTTGCGCCTGGGCCTTTTAGACCAGGGTAGGGAGTGGGGGAGGCAACGAGGAAAACCACCTGGGTCACTGCTCGCATCTCCGAGGACTTGTGTCTAAGAGGAGCGTGGTGTCAGAACCCTCCAAACAGCACAGTCCATTTGAAGTGTTAAAGATCTCCTTTGGAAAAGCCAGTCCCGGTTATTAAAAAGGAGCAGAAGCACAGCCGTAAGAGAGAGGTGCAGAGGAGTTGCCTTGGTTATGATTTCTCATCGATTGGGAAAAGGAGTTCACTTTGCTCAGTAAATAGAGCTTTGATGGATTCTCAGGATCCTTCCCGGAGCTGATCTGCTAAAATGACACTTTTTATTACTGTTCATAAACGCCAATCTCCAGGTGCTGCTGGGATATTCTGCTTAAGCTGTGGGCAAACGTGCCAGTCCAGTGGCTCAACAAAGCCCAGGTGAGGGAGGCTGGGGTTTCAAGCTTCCTTCCAGCAGGGGGAGTGGCCTGGGAAGAGCCAACTGGAGGTCCAAGAGACTTTGGGCAGGTGAGGGCCTGCATTTCAGGACAAGTCCCTTCTGCCCTGTTACAGTATCCTCATTTTCACTCAGACACCTCATTTTCACTGAGATTGCAAGGCATTCAGGGGCGAACTGGGCATGGGATCATCTTTCCTCTGAGGAATGCAAACCCTCCACCTGCCTGGGAACTGCCTTGTCCAGCCCTTGAACGCTCCAGGACAAGGCGCCCTCTTCATGGCTTTCAAATAGGACGGAGTGTCCCTGACAGAGCCGCTGGTGAACACCTCCAAGTTGTCGGCAAGCTCAGGATGAACCCGTTGTTTCGTGAACTATTTTACATGTTTAATAACTTTCATTTGAAGATCCTGTTTTCCTTTCATTTCTTCCACCTTTGAATGCGTAATCATAATCAGCCTTTTTGAATTTTGTATATTTTTCACATTTGCCTGAATGAATGAGTCCAGCGTATTTTAATTGCAGTAGGAAACAAGGTTCCTCGTACGAAGGTCTAATGATTTCCTCACTTTCGCATTTGTTAGCATCTTTGCTCATTCTCCCTCCATTCACTTACACGGCAAATGCATGCTGTACTCCAGGTGCTGTGCGAGGCCCCAGGGCACTGCTGGAGAGCAGAGTCCTCGCCATGTAGTGAGATCTAAACTTTCTTGGTTTTATTTTAAATGATCATTCCGTTCTGGTGTTGAGATTTGGGATGTTGTTGGTTCGTTGTGGTGGTTTTGTTTTGAAGCATTGCAGACACAAATGTGGATTCAGGTTGTTCATCTACAAGGGACTTGAAAAGGTTCGTGGACAAAGGAAATAAAGATAATGGGATTTTCCCAGATACTTGGAAGCCCCTTGCGCGCATTAGCTGGCCTGGTCGGGCTCCCATTGTCTCCCTTTCTGTTTCAGCTCTGCAGTCCTTCATCCGAGCCTACGCAACCTACCCCAGGGAGCTGAAACACATCTTCCATGTCCGGTGCCTGCACCTCGGCCATGTGGCAAAGAGCTTTGGGCTAAGAGATGCCCCCACAAATCTTAGTGTGTCAACTCTAACGAAGAAGAAAGCAACGCTGCTGAGAAGGTAAGATGAGCAGACCTGCCCTGTAACAAGTGGCTCAAGGGCCCATGAGTGTACAGAGAGGTCTGTTCAGATTAGCAGCAGTGAAACGATAAAGTTGGCTGCCGTGTTCAACCAAAACACCTCCATCTCGAAATTGCTACTGGCATCTGCCTTTCTCTCGATGTAAGTGGTTGCAACAAGATAAAAAGTACCTAATCTTAAATGTTTTTAAGACTGATAGGGATTCAGCAGTCTCCTTTCAGGCCCAAATGTGGTGGGAATATAGGAGCAGCAAGACAGAGGAGTTGCAGTCGAGTAACTAGTGCACTTGCCATGCTCAGAGCTTCAAATATGCTGAGGCCACTGGGGAACGTAGCAGACTTGGACTAAGACTTCCTCCTGCTTCATGACATCAGCAATTGTGGCTTTGCCGTTGTAGTGATATGGGAGGGTTTGAGTCCCCTGCTGAGCGATACAGATTTGCAGGAACTGGTGAAACTGAAGAGCCCCTACTGGATGGTCCAAAGGAGTTAGTATTGGGACCCTGGTGGCACGATGGTCAAGCACTCCCTTGCTAACCCAGAGATCGATCATTCAAATCTACCAGCAGCTCCATGGGAGCAAAGATCTGGTGATCTCTGCAGATCACCAGATCTTTGCTCCCTTGGAAGGTACAGCCCAGGAAATCCAAGGGGAGCATTACTCTGACCACACCTGACAACAGTATTGACCTCAGGAGCCCAAGCTGTCACTCTCCCTGACACTTTGACACCTGCCTCTAGCGGTGCACGCTCTTGTAGGCAAGAAGAGAGGGTGTGGCTTGAACTGGCTAGTTGTTAGCTGCCATCAGGAAGCCCTCAGCTCATGCTGTTCCGGCTACAGGAGGACAGGGCTGCCGTGATCCAGAGCACTTGCACTGGCTACTTTGGGAGTGGACGGCCAGCTCTTCTTCCTATTCTGTCTTAGTCTGGAAGCATCATAGCCACCCAGAGCCTTCACTGGCAGATAGGCGGTGGCTGTGCTTGAGGGGCATCGGGTGGTAGTCAGACCAGGGGTCCGACTTGGAGCGCAAGAATTCTGCCACAGAAGCTCGGAGTCCATCTTAGGGTTTCCTGAGACTCGGAGATGATTTCCCTCGGCAGACTACGTTGATTTGCTCTATGGGACACGGGAGCCTAGAACCTCTGGGAAGCTGTAATGAATTAAATTGTTTCATTGCTCTCCCACCCCCCCATAAAAAAATTGTCCACTTGGCTGGACCTTGATTCTCAATGGTTTAGCAGTTATGTAATCACCCCCCTGGTATACTGTGGCCCTTATCGCCTTTTATCTTACAAGAGAAAAAGGGGCCAGGAGCAGAGCATGTTCTTCGGATGTAGGACTCCTCCCGTGTGCTAAGAACCTCCTAAACCCCACGGAAAGATAGATGCCAAGAGATTAGAGGTCTTCAAGTAACACTGGGCCCTCAGATGTTGAAAGGAGACGAGGATCTTCCCCCAGAGTCAACAAAGAGAAAAGGCTTCACCTTTTCTAGAGTCCACATTCTGAACATGGGCGTCTAGCTTCCTAGACTCTCCAGTGGGAGAAGACGTTCCTGTTTGTTCAAGCCACCCACACGGGGTCTCTCTGTGGTAGCAGCACTAAACAAGAATTCAGAATTTGGTACTGGAAGAGTGGTGGGCTGTTGTGGAATTGGCTTGGGAACTGGGAGAGTATGGAAGAGAGGATTCAGTTTGTCTTGCCTACTGTAGGCACATTATCTGGAAAGACCAGTCGCTGGAGAAAGACCCCATGCTTGGTAGAGGCAGGGTGTCCTCACTGACAGGCTTGGACACAGTGGCTGCAGCAGTGGGCTTCAGAACAGCGATTTGTGAGGCTGGCACAGGACTGGGCGTCTCATTCTGTTGTGCCGGCAATGAGTGGGCTGCCTCAAGGCATTTATTGGTAGCGCCAACGAGCTGCGTACAGGACACTGGGCTGAGGAGAGAAGAAGCTGGGCTAACCCAAGGGGCTGAGAAGCCGAGGAACCTGGAAGTAGGAGCTGGCGAGACAGGCGCATTGGAAGCAGAGCTGCTGTGGTCTCACAGGTAGGGCCCCAGCCTCTGAGATCTCAGAGTAGAGCGGCAGCTGCTGGCTCTCAAAGGGCGGCCCTCCACCTTCCTGGGTTTCTAAAGAGTCAAATCTTCACAAGTTGCTGAAAAGAGACAAGGACCTTCCTGCGGAACCAACAGCTAGAGAAAGCTTTCCCCGAGAGCTGCTGCTCTGAGTTTGGGCTTCTCGCCTCCTGATCCGAGGGAGAGTAAGTAGTTCCTGCCTGGTAAACCATCTGCTTGTGGTAGTGCTGCCCTAGCAGCACTAGAGAATTAAGCCAAGCCAGGAGCTAGAACATTACATTCAGCTGCCCTTTTGTAGAGGAACTTTGGGATAGAATTGCCATTATCACTTAGGCAGCCTTTGTGTTGGAAGGACACATTGAATAAATTCATTGTGTGGCGGCACAACGAATTTTCTTTCACTTCTATTTTACTGTGGGATTCTTGGGTGTCCTTGGCAGAGGTTTCACCGCCTTCATTCTCTCTGCACAGTCATGCCCCTGAGGATCGGTAGGCAGCACCACACTGTCCTCCCTGTCCAGCACCGCGCCTGCATTGCTCAGGGGCCATCAGTCCGGTGTGACGTGGCAGAGGGAGAGCGGATTGCTGGTTTGGAGGGAAATGACCAGGGGTCCCAGGCTCGGGGAACACGAGCGCCGTCTCCATCCTGGTGTGGACGTTGAACCGCGGGTTCCTGTGCGTAACCACAGAACGAAGACGAGCACCCATGTTTTAGTTACTTTGCAAGGTGGTTTTGAGGCACAAAATTGGACGCTACATGTCAGTAAATAGTCTTCTGAGCCGTACAGGGCCTCGCAGACCGAAGCACTGGGGACCACGAGCTAGAAAGCAGATGGGTTAGGATTCAGGGACATCCAACTTGATCTGCCCTGGGACCTGGCATCCAGACAGCTCTTGACAGCAGCATGGCTTTTTTGTTGTTGTTGTTGTTGCCTAATTCTAATTCCCGTTTTAGAATTTATAAGACATTTAATTTTCCCCCCCCTCGCCCTCTTAGTGTCCCTCTCCTGTTAGACCATAGTCCTGTGAATCTGTGAGCTGCACCGCGGTACCTGAAGGGAAGTGGGTAGCCCAGCTGTGGTTCCCAGCCAGCAGAGGCCCAGAGATTCCAGGCTGAGCTGCCGGTACCCAGACTTCTCTGCTGGCCCCCATCCAGAGGGAGAAGACTCTTCCCAGATCTTCTCCCAGATACAGCCAGCCAGGCCAGGATTCCAGCTGCAGTCAGCAGAGTGCGCCCTGTCTTTGGCCGCGTGCTGTGCCTGGCGTCTGCTCGTCCTAACTTGGATTGTGTGTGAGTGTAACGACACCAAGAGTGACCTTGCTGCAGGCTGAACGCCTGGCCGTCGGTTCATCATCTCTAAGAAGAGACCTGGCCCAAGGTTCTGGTGACCCTGATCTTTGTGTGTGCAGTCCCCATACTTCATTGTTCTTCATGACCTACCTCTCTGACTGGGAATGTCGTGGGAAGTATCATCCGGATAGCGGCTCTCCAGCCTGGGATGTATTAGCTCCCACCCAGATCCTGGAAAGCAAAGTGGGCTGGCGGCAGGGAGGCTGAGGGGAGGGGGGATTGGAGACGGCATTGTCCTTACCTTGAGAAGCCACTAGGGAGAGAGCAGTGTGCCGCCTCTTGCTTAGCTGACCCTCACTGGCAGATGGGCACCAGGACGACTATACCCCTGTGAGCAGGGGATTTAACAGGGCTTTATTTAGGGAAGAATGGGCTGATTAGCCAATAAAGAGCATGTAAGATGGTATGGGGCAGCCTTTGATGTCTGGCTGGCGCGGCAGGGAGCCGGGTGGTGAGTGACAGCAGTGTGTCACAGGATTACTCTGCTCCTGACAATGCCACTCTCTGTTCTTGCCATGTCACCACTCTGTTACAGCTACTTTTTCTGTTGTTACGTCCTTCTTTTGAAGGTATTTCTCACACTCCTTACCTCCTACCCCCACCCCTGCCGGCGTTGCACAGGCAGGCAGGGATACAGTAGGTCCCCCCACTTTTTTGTCGGGGGTGGGGCAGGGTGGAGGAAGACCTTGTCACTCCTGAAGGCAGAAGGACTTTGCTGCTCATCTGCACATGGACCGTATAATCGTGGTCAGGGTGAGCAGCAGAGAAAACCTGACAGATTTTCTTCACCTCAGTCAAGGCTCAAGCAAATGTCAGTTGCTGCTTTTTGAGGGCTGGAGAGCAAGTCCATTAAGCCCACAAAGTAAGGCGAGCTGTGCTGCGGCCACAGGCCACAAGTATTGCTCGGAGCTGCACCGTCTCCTCTGCCATCCATCTGTCGACAAGGAGAATGGCTGTCCCCTTGTGTTGTGCGTTGGTGAATGAGATAATAGCACTAGATTCCCTAAACTATTCAGCATTCCATTTTATGGTGTTTACTGCCGTGAATAATGATGTATTGTGCGCAGAGCCTCTAATATCTGCAAACCCAATCCATCAGGCCGTAAACAGAATCTTTCTTTGAATCACCTGTCACATGCCAAGCAGGGAGATCTGCGAGGTGGGGGTGTCAGAAAGAGGGCTTGAGGGCAGGTGAAGTTCGGAGACACCGCTGTGACAAAGGGGTTGTGTATCCCCCATGCCACCCTTCCTTTCCGCGGTCACTTCTCAGAAAAATAAAGCCCATACTTCATCTCCACAAATGAGGTCTTCATACCCCAGCCTACCTTCCCAGTCCTCAGTGCTGAAAGAAAACACTAAATGCCTTCCCCTGCACTCAGAAATACAGTCATTGTCACAAACTCTCCTGACACCGACACACACACCTGTCAAAACCAGCCCCGCCCCCCCCAAACACCGACATACACGTGTACACAGCGAGTCGGTGGTTTTGGTGAAATATTGAGTGCCCCCTTAGCAACATCCAGCACACAAACTGTAGTTGTCTCCCGTGAAGT